AAGAAAAGAAGAAGATCACTGTTCAGGTGACGAGGAACGGGTTTAGACAGAAACTGTCGATATATGACTTGCTTCCCGGTGACATTGTTCATCTGGCAATTGGAGATCAGGTTCCTGCTGATGGTCTTTTCCTCTCGGGATTCTCCGTGGTGATAGATGAATCCAGTTTGACTGGCGAAAGTGAGCCTGTGATGGTGAATGCTCAGAATCCTTTCCTTATGTCTGGAACCAAAGTGCAAGATGGATCTTGTAAGATGATGATTACTACAGTTGGGATGAGGACTCAATGGGGAAAGCTAATGGCGACTTTGACTGAAGGAGGGGATGATGAAACTCCATTGCAGGTGAAACTTAATGGAGTTGCTACCATCATTGGCAAAATTGGTCTTTTCTTTGCGGTTGTTACTTTCGCGGTTTTGGTGCAAGGAATGTTTATGAGGAAGCTTTCAACGGGAACTCACTGGATCTGGTCTGGTGATGAAGCATTGGAGCTCTTGGAATACTTTGCTATTGCTGTGACAATCGTTGTGGTTGCGGTGCCTGAGGGATTACCTTTAGCTGTGACTCTTAGTCTTGCGTTTGCGATGAAGAAAATGATGAACGATAAAGCTCTTGTCCGACATTTAGCAGCATGTGAGACTATGGGATCTGCGACAACGATTTGCAGTGACAAGACCGGTACGCTCACAACCAATCACATGACCGTTGTGAAGTCTTGCATTTGCATGAATGTGCAAGATGTAGCAAATAAAGGTTCTAGCTTGCAATCAGAAATCCCGGAATCTGCTGTGAAGTTGTTGATTCAGTCGATTTTCAATAACACGGGAGGCGAAGTTGTTGTCAACAAACATGGGAAAACCGAGCTTTTGGGGACGCCAACCGAGACTGCTATACTGGAGTTTGGGTTATCTCTGGGAGGTAAGTTTCAAGAAGAGAGGAAGTCTTACAAAGTGATCAAAGTTGAGCCTTTCAACTCCACAAAGAAGCGAATGGGAGTTGTAATCGAGCTTCCTGAGGGAGGAAGTCTGCGTGCTCACACAAAAGGAGCTTCCGAGATAGTTTTAGCTGCTTGTGATAAAGTTGTAAACTCTAGCGGTGAGGTTGTTCCACTTGATGAAGAATCAATCAAGTATCTGAATGTTACAATCAACGAGTTTGCTAATGAAGCTCTTCGAACTCTTTGCCTTGCTTATATGGATATTGAAGGCGGGTTTTCGCCGAATGATGCAATCCCAGCTTCTGGATTTACTTGCGTAGGGATTGTGGGGATCAAAGATCCTGTTCGTCCTGGAGTCAAAGAATCCGTTGAGCTTTGTCGTCGTGCTGGAATCACTGTGAGGATGGTTACAGGAGATAACATTAATACTGCGAAAGCAATTGCTAGAGAATGTGGGATTTTAACTGATGACGGTATTGCCATCGAAGGTCCCGTATTCAGAGAGAAGAATCAAGAAGAGTTACTAGAACTGATTCCAAAGATTCAGGTACTTACTGTTTCTTGAACTAAAGACTTCGATCTTTTTGTTAAGTTTTTGAAACATATTACAATAGCTTTCCTCTCTTCTTATACAGGTGATGGCCCGTTCTTCGCCAATGGATAAACATACACTTGTGAAACAGTTAAGGACAACGTTTGATGAAGTTGTTGCTGTCACTGGAGATGGAACAAATGATGCACCTGCACTTCATGAAGCTGATATCGGACTAGCTATGGGAATTGCTGGAACTGAAGTGAGTATATAAGATTGTGTTGTGTCATTAATGAGCTAAAGAATCTAAAAGTTTCTATCTTTATAACCTTTTAGGTGGCGAAAGAGAGCGCTGATGTCATCATTCTCGACGATAACTTCAGCACGATCGTCACAGTTGCTAAATGGGGACGTTCTGTTTACATAAACATCCAGAAATTCGTTCAGTTTCAGCTTACGGTTAATGTTGTTGCTCTGGTTGTTAACTTCTCTTCAGCTTGCTTAACCGGTGAGTGAGTAAGATTACCAATTCAATGTACCGAAAAGAATCATTTTGGATTTCTAATTTAACACAGCTCTTTATAATAAATTTCAGGAAGTGCTCCTTTAACTGCTGTTCAGTTGCTATGGGTGAACATGATCATGGACACACTTGGAGCTCTTGCTTTAGCTACAGAACCACCAAATGACGAGCTGATGAAGCGTTTACCCGTTGGAAGGAGAGGGAATTTCATCACTAATGCGATGTGGAGGAACATTTTAGGACAAGCTGTTTATCAATTCATCGTCATTTGGATTCTCCAAGCCAAAGGGAAGTCTATGTTTGGTCTTGAAGGTCCTGACTCAACTCTCATGTTAAACACTCTTATCTTCAACTGCTTCGTCTTCTGTCAGGTAAAGAACAAAGAAAATACGATAACATTCCTCGAGCTAGAAAGATAAATTCTTGATATAACTTTGGTTCTGAAAATTCCAGGTGTTTAACGAGATAAGCTCGCGAGAGATGGAAGAGATCGATGTTTTCAAAGGAATACTGGACAATTACGTCTTTGTGGTTGTAATCGGTGCAACGGTTTTCTTTCAGATCATAATCATTGAGTTCTTGGGCACATTTGCAAGCACAACACCACTCACATTGACCCAATGGATCTTCAGTATCATCGTAGGTTTCTTGGGTATGCCCATAGCTGCAGGACTGAAGACGATTCCCGTTTGATCGATCCATCGAAATTGGTGTGAAACCTCTCTTTAAAGATCTCTATATTAGACCAGTTACTTCAAGTTTTAGAACGGACAAGTCTTCTAACAAAGTTTTTGCCTTTTGCAATGACTCTGTTTTTTATCCTTGACTTTATTTTCAGTTTGGTTAGGGCTATTAAGGACAAATATCTGATTTCTCCATTTTTGTAAAACTCTCTGTTTCTATCTTTGAAATGACACTTGTCTTTTTTTGGAATCTAATTTGGGTCTCTATTGAATGACAAATGCAAAACTACAGAAAAAGGACATTAGAAAAAACAGAGGAAGCAAAAGGTTAAAATAAGAAAAAATGATTATTTGGGTACAAAATTGTTAGCTAGCCAGACTGTAATTTGATATACTAAGAAAATCTCTAAATGAAGTCATGGCTTTTAGTGGGAGCCTCTTCTCCTGACATCATATCTTATCAGTCAAAACTGATTCCATAACAATTCCAAAGCCTGTCAATCTCAAAACTGTAATAAATAAGAAAAAGTCTTTCTTTAATTAAAAAAAAAACAATTTTTAATGTGATCAATTTAGGATCTCTATGAAGTAAAACCATTTTTTAGATTGAAAAAATGAGTATACTATATAGTCATTTGCCTAAAATATATCAGGTTCAGTCCCTTGTAGGCATATATAGGTAAACATTTACTTGTGAACATAAGACCGTTGTTTAGACTTGTGATCGTGTGAAGAAATGTTCATATAAATAAACGACTAATATCTAAAGTAAAAAATAGTATTTACTCAAATATAAGTTATTTTGTGATCTTTCAATCTCGATAGTCATTAGTTTATTCATCTCCTAACTAAAGTTGTAACTAAAAATTGTGTTACCCGAGAATCTCAAAATGTCTACACAAAACCCAACAGAAACAAAAATGTTTAACTCAATGATAATAAGAAAAGAAAAATAACAATTGGGACCCTACTAATATTCAATGAAAGATAGGCAACAGAAATTTCAGAAGCATTAACTAGTTCTTGGTGAAGTAAAGCTTGACCCTTTATGCTTCTTGATTTGTTGAATATCTCTTAGAGCACAAACATTGGCCTTAAACCCCACACACACACATTATCTTTAATTATATTCTGTCAGTACTTTCTTTGCTTCTTAATTTGAAAGATTTGTTTTTTTTTTGTTTGTAATAAGTCTTTTAATTCGTTGCTAATCATTTTGATTTTGGAATTAAAGCTTTAATTAATGGAACCAAAACTTTGGATCCCCAAGTTGTACAATTGTATGAGACAGTTGTTTCTCACTTAAACAAGTCGTTGGGTTTGTTTCTTCAGAGTCTTTTACACATATGTTTTTTTCTTTTTCTCAACTGCATTTCATCGAAGATATTAACAATAATTCTACCCAAAAAAAATACGATCTACCTCTATATGTACGAGTACGATGCTCTTTTGACTTGCGCGTAGAAAGGTACGAAAACTTTAAAACATCACATGCAATTTTCTGTATAAATTAGGGTTTCTTATTTAGATCCAACCATTGATCCAAAGTACTTCTACAGTTCCACTACAAGTTGTTGGTTTCTATAATGCTAAAAAAAGTTATTGGAGCAAAAATAAATATTTATTCATTTTTAGGTTATTGTGATCGACTGATTGTCTATTGATAAAAGTATTATTTGGTTTCCTCGTTTTTTTTAGCTAGTATATAGTACATAAGATAAGTAACGATTTTTGCCAAAAAAAAATTAATAATAACAAGTAACGATGATTTTTACTAAACAAGATTTTTTTTTTTTTGATTATTGATAACATGAAAAGATCACAATGGACTTTGTGGAATGTACATAACATGTCAAGTAGCATACTGATGGATTCACTATTGAGATGACCCAAAGTGTCAATAAAGATAAGAAAATAAATATATGAAATATAAAATAATTTTACCTTACCTTAAAAAGAGTTTCTTCATTTGTTATTTGCTATGAATGAGCCCTTTTGAAAGTTAAAGGATGAAAAAATGGACTTTCATTCCAAAAAAAAAAAAAATCCATGACAAAAATTTGTAATATCACATGGAAAAAAAATGCAACGTAACAAATAAAAAGAAGAAAATAAAAAATAAAAGAGGATGTGAAACCAAATCACTGGCACTGCAACTATTGGCCTAAAACTATTCGCCCTTTCTGTTTTTTTTATTTATTTACATTCACTCCTCATATTTATTTAATTCTCTCAGAGAAGCCTCTAATGTTTAGATAGTCACATTTTACCCCCAAAAAAATCCAAAGACCTTCATATGAAACCTATATGAGTTACTTCATAAAAATTGAAATAACCATTGTATTCAAACCATTTTTTTCTCTATAATGAAATGATTGAATATAAAAACCAAATCAATATGTTGCCAAAAAAGAAACCAAATCAATATAAGCCAAAACTTCAAGAAGAAAGTAACTCTCTTCAGAGCCTACGCGTATTCTTGGCTGGAGGAGAAGTTTGATCAGGATCATCAAAAGATAATCGGCGTTTAGCGCCACTTCCTGAAGCCGGTGGTTCGCGGGAAACCGCTGTTTCGGGCGGCGGTGTCATATGTTTCCTCTCCTCAATCTCTAGCATTCTCTGATAACACAAATATACATTTTCCTGCAAAACAAGAAACACACATTTGCTAAGACTATGATCAAACAATCAAAATCGAATCGATAAAAGGCTCAAGAATTATACATTCTCATTAGAAGTCCACCAAGAAATCGATCGAAACTTGTTCGTTATCTCTTCTCTCGTCAATCTAATATCCGATGAAGTAGAAGAAGCTAACATTATAGTAACAGCAGCAACAACGAACTGTCGATAATCCGTAAAACTTATCTCTACATCAAAAAAAAAGGAAACAAAAATGTGATATCAATAAATGCTTGAAAGAATATGATCTTGAGAAAAATGTGGTAGTAATAGAGTAAAGATCTCTTTCTTATTAGAGTTACCTTTAGTTAGAGCAAGAAGAGAATCAGAGGATCTTAACAAAACCAACTCTTTAGAAACAGAATGGTCGTGAGAGATTTTAGCAACGAAGTAGTTCAAGTAATGAAAAGGAGTGATTAAGTTCATTTTCCAATCCAATGTAGATAGAACCAACAATTCAGTTTTACGAATGACATCGGGTTTGAAAACGAAATCATGATCTTGAGGGTATTGTGACAATCCAGGAACAATTCGTTCCTCCATTTTCGCAGCTAATGATAAACAAGCTACTGATAACAATCGAATCGCCCATGTTTCATCTCTCTGCAACTAAAAAAAAGAAACCATCTTTAATCTGAAGAAAAAAGGAGAGATCTTTTTTCTTTGATATTGAAATTGGAAATTGGAAGTAATCAACACTTACACCGATGAATCTTCTTTGGAGAAACAGATCCAAGTATGAGATTGCAATGTAAGCTGTTTGATGTTGGAATCCAAATCTTGTTCTTGTCTGGAAAAAAAGAACCAATCAATCAAAGAAGTGAGATTAAGACATAGTTGAAGAATACAATGAATTGAATCATCAAAAAAGGGATTTTTTTTTTTGTTTTACGGACAGTGAGAATCCAATCGATTGCAATCAATCTATCAACAGACGACGTCGTTTTAGTGGGTTCAGTTTCGAATCTCCGATTCTCTTTAAGAACAAGCTCTGCCACATAATCTTCATCATCATCGATCGTAGTAGGAAAGTGAGGTTCTTGCTCCTCAGATCTCTCGATTCTTTCGTCGTCTTCGTTTAAAGAAGACTCGGATTCGTGGCAGAGTAAGAGAGCGAGACTGTCACTGGGCTCACCCATTTAACGGCGGCGGCGATGATGACGACGGCGGCGGAGATAGAACAAGTCTTATTCGGTGGTGTGTCCGTACACATCAAAGGGCAATTATCAAAATTTTTGTGAGAGAGAGTGTTTTTTTTAATAATCAGAGGCTAAATTATCTCGGAGTGAATTTAGGGAGTAAGGAGCTAAATCTTCGTATTTGATTTTTCTTCCATTACTCGATTTGGGATTTTAGAGCAAGTGACGAAAAAACAAAGAAAAAAAGAAAGAGAGAGAGAGAGAGAAAGAGAGAGAGTGGGAGAGAGAGAGTCTCCCGCGTCTGGTGCCGCCAAAAATAAGTGGGGGAGAGAGAGGGGGCGTTATTTAGCGGTTACATTTTCATTTAAATCTTTATTATTCTTTTTTAATCTCCGTTTTATTTGTTCATTAATCTTGAGTATATGTATAATCACTTTATTTTTTTTTGGGGTCGACAAATTATCGCATATTTTAAAGGAATGATTACTCGTTTTTTTTATTTCCAGCAAGATTACTTGTGTTTGAAGACTTTTTGATGCTAGTCAATTATGATTTCTCTTTTAATAACATTGTTTTTTTTTTATCTAATAGTATTGTATTTTTGAAATTTTTTGTGTTATGTTGATTAAACAAATTTATTTACAAAAACCTTTTTTTTTAATTTCAGATTTATCCATGATAATGTAAACTTTAATAAAGAAAATGTTATTAATAGAAATAAATAGTTGATGCAGGAATGGAGAGCGTTTAAAACTGTTGTGGCTATCTTAAATATAATGTCGAATGAGATTTACACGTATTGATAACTTTCATATAGAAGACATCATTTTTTTTTACCCGTCTAACTTGATCACACTCTTAGACTTCTTACATGAACAAAGTTCACAAATCCTCTTAGGAATGTTATCATCGAACTTTATCAACTGCAAGTTATATAGGCGGCCAAAGCATCCTAGATAGAACTCGATATTCTATAAAACAACTCTATAAATACCTTTCAATCCCAAATGATACGATATAAAGATTTCCCAAAACGAAAGTGTATCTAAACTAGCTAAAACGTAAAAAAAAAAAATCGGTGTTTGGTTAATTTTCATGGTTGGAATGCTTTCCGAAACAATTTTTTTTTCCTATCTATTTTTTGTTGTACATATATAATTTTTTTCGGTCTCTGAGACAAGATTTATAGGATCCCTTGAATTTGTATTAATCATGGAGTAGTTAACAAAGAATAATGATCCCATTGAAATTCTGTGCAGAAAAGTTACATCACATTCCAAATACAACGTTCTTATTACATTTCTCATTAGTGTATTCCACGTACTCCCCCTTTGTTGCTTTTGTGGTAACTTCTATTTTAAGAGGTTTGAATTAATATGTACTTTATTCAAAATAGAATTGTGAACAGAAAACAGAGGAATAGCTAGTTTAATTATTTCCCACTTATTGACTTCAATTAAATTCAGACATAGAATTTCATCTTCAATGGAAGAAAATAGAGTTCAAAAGATTTTATATTTGTTTCAGAAAGTGATTAACAATAAGTTTTTTTCTAGGAAATGGTGGGGGAAACACCATACCATTGCCACTAAAATAAATCCTTTCAACTTTTTTTAATTTAGTGTTATATCATTATTTTTGTTTATTCATATACAAATTTTCCTACACTTTTTAATTGCTATTATCATTCAATGTTCCTTCTCTGTAAAACTTTTTTGTTTCCTCACTTTTTATAGTTATATTAACGGTAACGAGTAATGACTAATGTTTGGTGAGCTAGTAGTAGTATGACTCATGTAGTAGATGTTACGAGACACGAAGTTTGTGTATGCAAATTTATATCTAAATACGTTTGCAAATACACATAAATCGTAGGTAGAAATATAGACAAATACTGTATGAGTATATTTATTGTAAAAATAGGTAGGTCTCGTTAGCGGGTTCCAAAATCTTATCATGAGTTTGGAGATTTTGGTACCCTTTAAGTTTTGATGTGTACAAGAATTTGAAGGCAGAATCCAATGTATCGTTGATTTTTATTTTTTTTATCATCGTAAACCATCCGAAATTATTATGAATTTAGTGGAAACATAAATAACTGATTAGCCAATTGAATAAAGTGGAATTACACTATACAATATCTCTGATGTTAAGAAAAAACGGATAATACTTTACTAATTTGTACAACTATAGTTTTATTCTTGAATAAACTTAAACTAAAATTAATATTTGTTTATCCATCCGCAAATGAGGCTCCCATCTTTATATGTTTCTGGTCCCTTTTTTTGACATACAAATATAGGTTTCTCTTCCTCGTTTATTTATTTATTATGAATACTTTTTTTTTTTTTTTTTTTGGTAAAATATTATGAATACTTATATATTGGCGCATGGCTTTGGAGCCGAGTCATTCAATATATAGGATAATTAATTTTCCTATTATAGTATTAGTAATATTATAAGACTAGCTGTAAGAAAAGGGTATAAAACCAAGAAAGACGCAAGATCCAAAATCTGCAACTTTTATGTGTATGTTAGTGAAGTATCAGCAGCAATTGTTCGATCTCCCCCCTAAATACAAGTAATATTCTCACATTATGTATTTTATAGATTATTTTTGTAGTATTTCCTTTTAACTTCTGACTTGTATTATTGTGCATTTCTATGTGTATATATACAATGATTACATTATGTTACAAATATTTCCTGAGATGCTTGTATATATGTAGTCAAGAAGAGGGACCGATTATTTCACAATAACTTGAAAAATGCATTTTAATCAATTTTGAATTTAGAAGTTGTGATCTGCAGTTTCCAAGATTGACCAGAGTTATTAACGAAGATGATGAATTTGCAGGATATTTTTTTTCACTTCAACAATTTTGGGTCGTTAGGCCAACTCGCTTGGTGAATTTTTGTGTCGATTTTTTTTTCTTGTGAAACAAGTTTATTTTTGTTTTATTGTGCTTTTCTTTTCTATGATTGTCTTCCCTTGTTGATAAGGAATCAACGACTTGTGGTCTATTTCACACATTTAATAAAAGTTACTATTTTGTGGAAAATACAATGTAGTATTGGTATTTCTCACATTACATATATCAAATGAGGTAAAATAAATGTTCCTATTTGAAAATAGTGAACTCTTGAAAAAAAAAGAGAGTTAGTAACCAAATATAATTTGATCACATTTTGAATGAACTAACAAATCTAGGATACCTAACACGTTACACACATTATTTTCCAATCTATTTATGATTCCTTTCGAGGTGTGTATTTAGTCTATTCAAACTCTAGCAAAAACAAAGAAACTCGGTCCCTCTATTTCCACAAGAAGGTCTCTATGGACAAAAATGACATAACACTATCAAAATGAATGATACATGGAAGAAATATGATATGATATAAAAATTGATGGTGGAATGATGGCGCACGTGACAATAACTACAGTAGAGGAGCGTCGGTCACGTGCGAAAGGCTGGATTGCCTCAGAAACGAAGAAGAAGAAGACGCTCCACCACTGCCTAACTAGTAACAATCCAAAAACTATATGATATATATAAATTATGATATCATGTCACTACTCGATAAGTTTCCCATAAGAGTAAAAAAGGTTTTAAAATAAATAATTACAGTGACGATATAGTCTGTGCCATGTGTTGAATTTCTTTGGGGCTTGGTGCCCATCTAAGTGGAACCTTTGACTGTGTCAAGTTTTTTTACGATTCCAAGACAGTCAAACTTTGACCAAATATTTCTATTTACGTGTGTCCGATTTATAACTTTGGTTACAGCTTGGAATTTGGATAAGTAATTTTTTTCTTTTTTATTCCGAATAATGTTTTGGTGTGTAACAGACTAACAAGTGTTAGGTGGGAAGCATCATGGTTTTAGCGAGAGAATATAAAACTCTATGAATATGTTTTTGTTTATTTTGGAAATTTTAGTATTTTAAAAAAAAAAACTTGATAAAATATCTGTTTCCATTCATTTTCTTTAAACTACCAGTAAAAAAAAAAACTGCTAATAATATTTTCTCGTGGTGATACTTCATACTATATCATAAGCAAAATCATAAGACTTAAATAGAATTTGTAATGAGAATAAATAGAAGAAAAAACTACAGAATATAATTTGTAATGACAATAAATAAAAGTGATATATATATATATATATATTGATTTATGTTTTAAATATTTTTATAAAATAATTAAACAAGTGTTGTCTTGCCAAAACATAATGGCTAGTGTCTCTGTCTCCCTCAAAAGATCTCTTCTACAGTATATAAAAAAAAAAAAGACTTTCCCAAATAGTCATAACTCTTTTTTTTTTTTGAACGAAACAAATAGTCATAACTCTTACGATTATTGATAAAATGTATTCAAAAATGGTTCGTTGAAGGAATAGAGTACAACAAAATTATCAGCCACCTAACTCTTACGATTCATATCCGTTGTGTTAGTTGTGTACTGTTTGCAATTTACATTAACCATTAATGTTATCGACAACATTTTCATGTTTGATTCACTATATATAAGCTGAGTAGTAATAGTAAAAAAAAGTATACATCACAGCTTATCCGAACTATTTAAAAGAAGTCTTGAAACTCGTGTGAACTCTAGTTCACGCTTTAGAGTCACCAGCCAACTTCTACAATGAAACTGCTCATTTAAGAGCCCCCACAGTGGGGTAAGTGTGAGTGTGGGTGTGAAATTTTTTATATTATTATAATTTAAAGAGAGAGAGAAAAGAGAGAGAGAAAGAAAGAGAGAGAAAGAGAGAGAGTGTCTTACACCCGAGTGTAAAGTTACACCCGGCTGTGAGGAGAGAGACAACTTTTCTCTTATTTTCGATTATTTTAATGGTCACACCCGGGGAGAAAATGCGCCATTGCCCATGGCCTAATTGTTACACATACCATTTTTTTTTTTTTATCTCATCTAACTTGCTTGAAGGAAACATTATATGTATATATATGCCATTGAATTATACAGCTAGCTAACAAGAAAAACGCAAATAGTTCGTGCTTGTTGTGTTGT